TTGGCGATGCTAAATTGATTGGATTTCTTACAGGAATTGGACATCGAATCAGTCCAATTTGTACCTTAGGTCGTAAAAGGATTTTATACTTGATTACAGTCAATTATTGAATTTATACAAACTGGAAATGTTCATTTGTTAATAAATTGTTTTTGGGCCTATGTCTTCCGCAGGTAACTGTCAAGATTAATGGTGACGCATTGAGAACAAGGCCGTGATATAATCCATCACGAAAGGCCCACTCTTTATTTTTTCTTCATCATTATTGAAATAACGAAAGGTACTGTGTCGGTTTGTACTGCGAGTTATAAACTGGACATGCGGTTGAATAAGCGAAGCAGCATTTGTCTTCCCTCCGCTGTAAGACGCTGTCGACGTTTGTTCTAAGGTTGATAGATGTTTATATCGAAATCGTTTGGATAGGAGATTTATATGTCTGCCTGTACTGTATGTTCTTCTCGAAAATTTCGCTTGTTTGTTCCAAGCGAATACGCATAATAAAAACTTGCAATTCTCTAATAATTATGAAAAAATAAAGGTGAATAATAAAGTGTATGCGAGTACAACAAAATTTCTCTGGTATTTTGTACAGTTTGTGATTTATTATTTTAGTTTCATCAATTTTTTTACAATAAAAAAAAATTTCCTGGAAGTATTTCTTTTTAAAATTTTGTGAAAATTCTTCTGCGAGTATGGCTGAATTAGGATTACCCATTTCTTTCCGTCTTTTGGTGTGTCTATCTGTTCATTGAATTTAAAGCAGTTTTGTTGTGTCGTAGTTTGTATTATGTTTGTGAGTTGTGCACATTCTTCGTCACAGTTTGTGTTGTGTCCTTTTGTACTATGTACTATGAAGGATATAAGTTGTTATCTAATGATAAGTACTTATCAAATATAGGTTAATCACCCCGTAGACCACAAGAGGAAATCTCAGAATTTATTTATTCATGTTTAAGTGAATAACTTGGATACGCCCGTTCTCTTTATAACTTATAATACGTATTAAATTTCTACAAAGGACTTTCAAAGAGAAAGCAAACACATTTTATTTGGAACTCGATGTAAAAACATTGTTTCTTCCAAACTTCAGTTAGTAATTTTTTTCACGGACGAGAAGTCACTTGCTACTTTTTCCCCAAGAACGTCTAACTTTTTCTCCATTTTCTTGTATGTGCTTCCAATTCAGAGCTTGGAGATTTGAAACGATATTTTCTTTCAATCGACGGCAATTGCGCAAGAAAAAGTTAAAACCTTGTGAAATAATCGGGCGAGAGGGTTGGCAGGTTTTAGACTGATGAATAAGTCGCCATCATTTACCTTTTTGGAAAAATTTGTTTATCTGTTATGATTCTTCGATTCATGTGAGAGATTTTTGTTTCTTTTTTTTGACACTTTTTATATAAAAATTTTCTTTCGCAAAACGAAAAAGATTTCCGCTCATTCTGGTCGTTACACAGATACCAAATGCATTTCTATACTTCAGTATATTCTTTACTTAAGACTCATTTACAATTTTTATATTATTTTGTTCAAAGAAAGGATAGAATCGGTAACGCTAACACAATTTATCAAATATATTGCTATTATCTGAGGAGAAAGGTGGAATTTCTTTATTCGTCGGGCGCGCAAGACAATTTATCTAGCCTGGATATCGAAATATGCCAGGAGGTCCTTGATTTCCCCGGCGACATATCGCTCCTCCAACCTAAAAGTGGACTAATTTAGAAACGAAGGATTTTCCCGATGAATGTTCGCATAGCTCGTCCCTTCCAAATATTCCCTGGGGCAATCGGTTTTCAGAGGTCATCGAACTTGATAAGACGCACAGGAAGTGCTCGTGGAAAAAACCTTTTAAAACACATTTCCATGCAGAATAAGAACGTTTTTTTTAATAAAATGTCGAGGTTTCCACAAGAAATATTTTGTCAATTTTGATATTTGATCTTATCAATGAAAAGTATATCCAACTCGCTATTCGTAAGTGTCAGAACGAACACTTACCAATAATAAATTTTTTTTCTCCAAAAGTTATCAAAAATCGTAAGTTTAAAAAAAACAATATTAGGAAACTATGTATCTTGAAAAAACAATTTAATAATATTATAAAAAGAATAAGCGGTTGACACATGGGCACCTGCTTTTGGGCCAAAGGCCGCGCAGGTGCCCCTTATGCAGAGAAAGGTTGCTCGATGTGTCCCACATAATAGAGGCATGCCATGCCTTGGTTCCATACAGAGAGCGTGTAGGTATGCCGCCGGACTTAAGAAGAGTTCTCGAATACGGTAGCGAGTTTCAGAGTCCCCTATTCCGCTTTTTGGGGGAATTTTTTTTTTTTATTGTATATAGTATGTCTTATGTGTTGTGCGTCTATATGTTTAGTCTGAATGCATGTATTTATTGCGTGAATGGCGAGGGGTGAGGGTGATATAACGTCATCATCACCCCTCGAACGATGGGAGCGTAAGAGTGTGTGTTCGGGGTCGATGGCGGAATATTTATAAAAGTACTCCATTGACCCCAATCTAGATTAGTGTGGTTGTTGTTGTTGGTCGGTGGAGAAATATCAAGTACTCCACCGACCAAACGGAATGAATGTACTGTATAGATGTATTTATGTGTATGAATGTATTTATTTGTAAGGATGTAATGTTTGAAAGAGTAAATAGAATATAGACATAGTTGGGGGCTGAAATGACCTAGATGCTGGAAGCCCCAGTAAAAAAAAATTTTTTTTTGGTAAAAAGGGGATAGGAAACAAGTCATACTATAAACAGAAGAATGATTTAAGTCAAAAATACAGACGTCAGAAGATAACAGATTCAGTAATCAGCATAATGCGTTGTAGAAAGTAAGATAATTTAAGTGATAATTTATAAAATTTGCACCAAGGGCTAGAATTAGAAAAGGATATTTTTTAAAATTTAGATGCACGTTTTACTGTATTATTAATTTAATGATATAATATATTTATTGATGCAGGAATGAGGTTTCATATTGTTTAGTCTTCCATACTTCTACGACACAGGCTAGTGCGATCAAAATGTTCGTTATCTAATTGAGCTAATGTTTGATTTATCACATACCAATAAAAATGTCATTTATCTAAACGCCTAGTCAGTTTGTTTTGACTAAGGACAAAAATATTAAGTCATGAGTCATGCTTTAAGAGGATATTATAATAATAATTAAACACTGCCTGGATTGAGAAACTTTGTAAAGTAGTAGTAGAAAGTAGTAGTATTAATGATGAAAGGTTATTTGCAGTTCGATACTGCCTGGATTGAGAAACTTTGGTTAAAACTGACGTGGTTTAGTAGAAAGGGATTAAAATCTTTATCTTGAGGCTGACGTGAACTAATCTTAACGACACAAGTATTAATTTTTGCTGAGAAAAACGGCGCCCCAATTATACAGTTCGTATATGTAAAGTTGTCGTGATGGTTTAGTATCCGGTCGCGCCTTTAACAGTGGACATTTTGGCCATATAAAATATTAAAAAATCCAATGAACCTTGAATTAAACCTTTATAATTTTCTAATTTCCAAAGCTAATAAATTACTGTCGTGTGGTAGAACAATATAGTTGATAAACACTAAACGCTGGAAAAAATACAACGGTTTACATTAAACACTGTTATTAAACAGACTAAATCGCAATGTGATGTTCTTTCCCAATGACCTTTGATGAATCGACATATTACCGATGTACATTCACAGGTAAGTTGTGATAAACAAATTTTATTAAAGAATCGTTGGTTTGAAATCGTATTGCCGTAATCAATTAAACATATCTATATGTCAATTGAGAAGCACGGTTGCAGAGAGAAAGAGAGACGAATATGTCGGAGAGTCGTTCATTCGTAAGGATTGCATTTTCTTTAGAATCCTGTCAATGGTAAGATAAAAAAATACTCCAGGTCTTCACATTTCAAAATAATGTTTATGAACTGCTTAAAAGTCCACAAAGGAGGTTTCTAAGACGAAGCCACCCTCCAAAGCTTCCTCACTCCATAAAAATCTAACAAAGCTCAGTCGTCTCCATTATTGTAACCAACAACTGTTGCATTCACAATCCATCTTTTAACTCATCACTGGGCACTGACCAGTTACTAACTCTAAACAGTAAGTGATTCGCGACCAACTGATCGGTGTCAGCTCCTTTCAACTCTTCTTAACTACTGACTGACTACCATTGACTACCCTTTTCCCATCACCGACCTTTCGCAAACATCTTAGATGGCTCTTGTGTGGTGCTTTCTTCCCTGTGGCAGCTACTACCCTTGTTTGAACATTTTCATTTGATTTTTGGAAGGGATTCTCGAGCGCCCAAGTAAGTCATGAAATATATTGCTTCGACATTTACATATCCTCATTAAAATTGTTCTACTCAGTTAATACAATAATATTTACACAATTAATTATTAATTAGTATTACAACTAATTATCTATAAAAAATGGTCTTACGACGGTATTGAATTATTTCAATTATTGAGCCCTGTGAGGATCTACGGAAAGTTCTGAGAATACAAAGTTACGATTACAAAAAAAATTAATACAATTCAAACTCATTTTTCTGATTAACAAATCTTTTAAAACGAGTTATACTTCATGAAAAGTTTTTCTTTTTAAAAAATAGTCTTCTCACGATATATATATTTTTAATTTTCCAAACGGATGTTAATAAATTACTATAAAAAAAAATAGTTTTATCTGGAGAATGCATGTTACATTGAATGTCATAGTTCATAGTTTAGTATAGTTCATTTTCTGTAGTAAATAATTTGTAGATAGGGATTAACTAAACTCGTTAATTAAATAAATAAGAAAGGTAAACTTTATATTAAAGTACATAAAATGAACGTTTACTTGTGATGACACAAAAGAAAAATGGGATTATTAGTTGTATTTTTGAAAAATTTACTTGTATTTTGCTTTAAAAGCGATTTAAATATTAAAAAACACCCAACCAACACGTAACCAGAAGTTTAGGATTTCACTTACCGACTTTCCATTGAGGACCCACGTCAAGTTAGCTGCAGGCCTTGACTTAGGCGAAGTGCAGTTGGCTGTTATGATGTCGCCGAGCCTGTAGCGGGCCTTCAGGCCGATCAAAATTGGCCTGCCGTGTGGTGGATCTGAAAAAAGACACGTTGAGGAATTCACAGTGAGTAATAGTAAAAGGTTTTTCTTTTACTCACCAACTACATGCATGTGAGCACTCATGACCGCCGTGTGGAAGGATGGTGCATCCGCGGACACCTCACAATCGTAATTTCCGGTCATGTTCTGCGTCACGTTTTTCAGCCAGACGTGCGTTGCGTTCGAATACTCTTTCTAATAAACGGAAATAAAATAATCAGCTAAAAAGTGTGCATAATATACAGGGTATCCTTTATAGATGGCCCGGCTGAATTTCTTTTGAACCAATGACGCTATCAAAATAAAAAATTCGTTTTTAATATTTTTTGTCTAGTTTCAAATTGTTACCTTTTTGGAAAAAAATTATAAAGATACATCAGGCCGAGTTCAACTTCAACAATTCAAATACAACCCTATACATCCTGACAAAGTGATGGCAAAAAGTTTGAAACTTTCGTTCTTAATGCCAATAATTTGCTTCTTCACTGAAGTAAACATTATTACCTTTATTGTTTACATTCGGTCATTGTTTGTCAAACTCGCATTATGAGAGCAAATCTTAATTCCTGGAAGTAAATACATTTCACAATAGTACCTATTCGTTACATTCAGTTTTTCATTCAAAATGAACCGAAAAGCTCATTTTTTCGATCAACAGCGAGTTGATAAGTACATTGCTTTATTGATTGTGGTGGTATTGCGCGTCGTGCTGTCGAGTTGTCTTCCATAAATTTCCTGATCCCTCCAGAGTAAACCACAAAACGTTTATTCGTGTTTCTCGCAATATGAGAAGATCAGTTGCTAATCCATCACCAAGAAAACGGCAGCGCAATTTCGACGAGGAGCTAAATATTTTATCGTATGTTTGCAAAAATCCCAATTCCTCTCTCCGAAATGTGGAAAGGGTTTTTAGGTTTTTCAAAAAATAAAATTAGAGATGTACTCCGGACTTACAATTTTAAGCCGTAACGCTCTCATCTTGGCCAGGGACTCTGGAACTCTGATTATGACGGGCGTCTAACGTTCCTTGCAAAAATGTCGATTTGGAGGCTGAAGAAAACGATCTTACGGAATGATGAATCCAAGATCACCTTTAATGGCATAATTAACTGTTAGAATTTTCGGACGTGGGCTGAGGAAAATCCGACAATTTTGTACACTTATCATCACAGGTGGTTTACAATATCAACGTTTGGTGTGGACTTCTCGGAAATAAATTAATTTCACCTTATTTCTATGAAAATAATTCATTTAAATGGTACTCAGTTCCTCAATTTGTTTAGGGAGGTTTTACCAACACTATTAGATGATATTACTCTGCGACAACGACAAAGAATGATTCTCCATTATGATGGACGCCCCGCACACAATTCTTTGCAGGTGAGACGTTATTTAAATTGTAACTTCCGGTATAAGTGGATAGGACCTCACCGATCTGTTGGTCTTCTCGGTCACCCCGAAATGTGGTTGGTAAATAACAAAGCAAATGTTTTTTTCATACTTAGCAAATTTGTCTTTTTTTGACCAATTTAAAATCCGTTTGCACCATTATTTTCAGTGCAACAAACCCTTTAAAATGATGTGTCCGTATCCATAGCGTCGTTTTTGAAATTTTGAAGCTGAACTCGACCTGAGGTACCCTGTATAATTTTTTCCAAAATAAGTTAAAAATTTTAATCTAGACAAAACATATTAAACATGTTTTTTTTTGGTCGCTTCGGTTCAAGAGAAATTCAGCCGGGCTATCTAAAAAAGACACCCTGTATAGAGAACGAGTAATTTGTAATGTAACAAGAAATAAAGTATTATAATGTAATTTATTTTGTAATAAATATTTTTAATCGTGCGATGAAGGATTCCACATGTTTTTGTTATCAGTTTTCCCTAACATCTGTGTTTCAAATTGTTAAGAGTTACTATTTGAATCGAAATTGATGATTCTGCATGGTAAACATTGAAGTGAATGAAAGCAAATGTGCTGAAGTCACTCGCACTAAGAAAGTCACTGAATGACATACTGACAGTGATTGTTGCATAGTACATTACCTGGGACTGTTCTTGGACAGAAGACTGTCCTGGAATCCACACACTCGCATGAAACGACAAGACATGAACCGATGTTACAAATTCTTGCTGAGACAACTCAACCAACAATCTCATCTGACTCTTTGCAAAACTCTCATTCGTCCGGTATAGGGTTCAACCAAACATACCAATTCATACAGCATCCCTCTCCAATCCAAAATCCTTAGAAAAATACGTAATGTACCCTTTCACGTCTCCAGTTAAACCCCCATATTCCATTCGTTCAAAACTTTGTAAATGAACGCATTATGAGAAATTCCACAATACACTTTCAGTACACCTAAATCCCCTCGTCTTAAAACTGTTCACGCTAATCCTACCTGGAAATCTTTTACGTTAGCTGAAGAGGCAATGGTCCTGTGCTCCAGGGCCTGGTTTCTCCATCATGTTTAATTTTATTATGTTTTGCTATGACTTACCACATTTACTTATTCTATCTAAAATTGAGGTGTAAATAATAAAATAATAATTAAAGCAAAAGATTTTTAAGTTATCAATTAAAGTGTGAACTATTGTAACTTTATTTATATAAATATCGAATTCACATCGGTTTATTTTATGGCACAGGGTTGCTATTTCCTGAAACGAAGAGATATCTTGTTTCATTACACATTTTTCTTTAAACCGCCTTATAGTTGTAAATATATATAATTATAAGTAATGTTTAACATTTAAACATGGCGAACTTTTTATTTCTCTATACCACTTTGTTGCCTGTCGATTCGCTGTACAAAATAGAGCTGACGACTTGAATAGAAAAAGAGGACTATACCAATAGGATTTTACTTAAAAGCGAAACCTGAGGATTCCAGAAATGTCGGAGTATTTTTGGCAGTTTATTTTTTCTTTTTAGACAGCGTCTTGAACCGTTGGAAACAGGAGGACGAACTTTTACTGGATGGAGGTGTAAGAAATGGCGCCGTGGTTAGTAAAAGGATAAAGGAAAATGCATAAAATAAAGAATGTTTGTGTTCTAAAGCCACGAGCGTCTAATTAACAGAAGCCATTAAAGCTTTCTGTCCTGGCCGCAGTAACTGCTGAAATATGGACTCCGTGCTTCCTGAGTGGGGTCCCTCTTTTGCGGATGCAAAACCTCAAGTCAAATTTGTAGTTGCTGTGTAAAAATTAGAAATATTCTTTAGGATTCGCTTGTTTTATAACGTTAAGACTTGTCAACGATCAACTAAAGAAAAAAAAATTCAACTGCTATGCATTACTAATCATATCTCTAATCTGTAATACTTCACGCCGCCGTTTTAGTTCTAATTTACAAACAGATAGCCTCTTAATAATCCCAAACATTTAATATTAATCTTGCCAGAGTACTAAATAAATTTGTTTTGCCAATTTACATTTTTCGGAGTGAATTAATTATATGACCCACGCAAGAAAAGCTAACATACTAGATTATTATAAAATAATTTATAGCCAACTAAGTAGTGAGTTCCACACGTGTTCAGAAAAGCAAATACCTCAAATAAAAACTTGGTAATTCTAAATTGGAATAGAAAATATTGTTTAGATAATTAATTTTGGATATAGAATTGTTCTTTCGTAAGGACGGAGTTGAAGGTTTACAGAATTGTACGGACCTCCCAATGCTATTCGGAGATGATATTATTTTGGCTGATGCTCGGAGAAAACTAAAAATAATGAAATTAAATTGTGGTAAAAGTAGATTGATGGTGAACAGAGAAAAATTAAAAGTGTTTGTTTTATATGGAAAAGGTCGGAAAGGTAAATGTCAAAATCTATATTATGGGGGGATCGTAATAAATAAAACTATTAATTACAATTATTTAGGGATCAACATAAGTTATCAGGTAAAGTGTTACTGTGGTTACAAGTCTCGAGAAACAAGCTGTAATAGCTACCTCGTTTGTTAGAAATATACTTGTTAAAGCTCCTGCTAATAAATAGTTCGGAAGCTATGATGAAATTGTATCATTTCGTTTTTTGAGCTGTGGGGATTAGCTATCCAGGAAGGGAGGAACCTGAACAAGGATTTTTGAACTGCCTCCTTCTATTGCATAATAACACACCTAAGTATCTGGTAAGGTTCGAAACCTGTCATGGTAATCTGATAATGTATGTTTTAAAAAATGTTCAAATGGTGGATAAAATCGCAGGAAATGCTTGAAGATAGAATTCCAAGATTTGCTTTCGAACCGTAATGCGGAGTGTTGATATACCTACCAACCAAAACTGGGGGCAGAGTCAAAGAGGTTGCTAGTAATGGTTGGGGCAGAGCAGCTTTGGATTCAACAAGATTCAAAGTTGGTCTGATCATTTTTAAAAGATTTAGTATTCCAACTTGAAAATTACTACTTTTGTTGGATGTAAATAGAGCCCTAAACTCAGAGTAAAAAAAAGTGTATCGAACAATTTCCTGCTTTGGTGAAATTGAATTATTTTAAATATAAACCAATTTTAACAAGTTGAGATTTGTTTGTCAGCTTAGGTTAAGCTCGGATGATATAATTAGGTTCCATTCGCTGGGCAGATATATTATTACATCTGAGGTGTATAAATTGTGTAAAATTAATTGCCTAAAATTAATTGGAATATTAGAACGTCCCTCTTTAAATCATTTGAGATCAATATTTTTTTCCGACTTAATTAGTGGTTTGTTCTTTCCTTGAACACTAGAAATATTATTGAAAAATGTACTACTAAAGAAGGGGAAAATATCGAATCTAATCAGCTACAGTAGGCGGACCAGGATGGTCGCAATTGACTAAAGATCTTTACAGGATTGAGATTGATTTTAACAAACCATCTAAAAATTTTGATATATTACACTTCGTTTTATTTTAGCGTTATCGGTAATACATTTACGTACAAACATCCACGATACGTAGTAAATGGTGCGCTAAAGAAACTCATTTTTTTCGACACACCCATCTGTGTGGTCCTTTTAACAAGTGTGCCGTGTAAACGCCGTCGAAGATCTTTATGGCGGTTGGCTTTTACTAAATCACGTTCGGCGGAAAAGCCGTGGTAAACAGTTTCCTGTGCGACCGTTCGGAAAATTAGACTATTTTACGGACTGGGGCGCTAACCGGGTTTATAAATCCCCCTGACGACCTATGATAGTATTGGCGGATAGG